TGCTATGCTTTTCAGAGGATGTTATGTATAAAATATGTGTGAGAACATGAAAGCAAAAGTAAGTTCAGAAGAGGAACACAACCAGGAGGACAGTGTGTCAGAAAAATCCAAGAATAAGTGGAGGTGCAAAGGCTAAAAAATAATGGAAATGGTGCCTATCCTTCTGTCTCTCTCTCTCACACACACAGACACACTTATACAACACATATACAAATACATACATGTATACATGCATATATATAATATATACACACATATTCACATAATATTCAAGTATGTATACATATATACACATACATACACATACGTATATATACATACACACAGATTGAGAGATTAACCATATGTAGATACACACATGCACATATGCAATAATGAAATCATTTCAAAGCATGCCAAAAATATAATAAAAGATATGTCCTCTGGGTTTAAAAAAAAAGTTTAAAAGCAAACAAAAAATAAATGGCAATAACTACTCACATTGAATTTTTGTTTTGGTCTTTTTCTTCCTAAAAAGAATAACCTCAATCTGAACAATGAAATTCAAAGCAATGGAAAACTCAACAATTAAACTCAAAGTAGACTAGGAGATAAGATATCTGTTTCAAACATCACTGCCAAGGTAATTTATAGGTCAGTGCATTGATAACTTTTGCCAATGATAGAAAAGATGCCAGAGAGCCAGACCCTGGCATTAAAAAAATAAAAATAAAAAAAGTAAAATGATTCTGAAGACTGCATCTCTGAGCTTAAGGTAAATTCTAAACAAAATCTTGGAAATTAGAAAATGAATTTATGTTTCTTTGTTTTTCAATGTAAATGGATTGAGGTTTCTTAAAACAGAAATGAATATTATTATTTGTAATGAGAGCACTGGGAGCAATTTTGATATTTTTGAAAAGGTTTCTAGAGTGATAAATTAGAATGACAGGAATATATGTTGATTTTAGAAAAGTGTTTATATAATTCCACATGACATTCTCCGGACAAAATATAAAAAGGTAGGCTGAGTAACATTTTTAAAGGGCAGTAAATCTTATAATTGTTATTGATTAGGATGAAGGCCTCTGGTAATGTTTTCCAGGGTTATATTCTGTTACATATACATGACATGGATAAAAAGGAAACCAATATTTACTGTGTGCTTAGTTTATGTTATCTCAATTCCACCTCTACAAGGAGCTACAATGTAAAATTGCTACCTTTAAAAACCTACGAGGTAAAATTATTCCTATTCACAGATGTAGAAACTGAGTTTCAAGAAGGTTAAGCAAATTTCCTCATATCTGGAGGCTAGTAATGCAGAACTGGGTGTCAAAATCAAGTCTGCATGAACCTTCTGTTTTGTCTCCCATGAAGACAAAAGGCATGAATATAAAATTTGTTGAAACACAAAGCTGGGAAGGTGTAATAAGACATGGAATGACAGAAGCAAGATCTAGAAAGTTTGGGATCATGAATCGAAAGAAACAGGATAAAATTATTCTAAAATTAATATTAAATCCTACAAGAAACTCATCCAAATCAGCTGAATTTGTACAAAACGGTAAATCATTTTATCAGTAGATCCAATAATAAATATTATAAAGTTTAAGTGTGAACTCTGTTACTCAGTAGTATGGTACCATTACTATATTGATGGATGTATTGCCAAGGAAAAGGAAGAGAATTACACACTGTCTCCTTCAATTGTTATATGACACTGGATGTACTGTTTTCAGTGTTAATCGTGGTATCATGTTCTTTGTCATAAACTTGTTGACAAATTGGCAAATATTGACAGGAAGTATGCTATTAGAGCATCTAAAAATATAGGTGCTTTCCCTACTGCATCATATATTATAATTTGCAAACGTTTGTTTCATTTTATACCATTATTATACAGAAAGGGTTTTCTATGATAGCATTATAAAAATTCCCAGAGAATACTGGCCCAGTAAGAAATGGAATGTTCACAACTCATAGTATAGCTATATGAAAGAAATAGATCTAAACGACACGTTGGTTTCTAAATTATATTTTCATACCTGGAGAACATCTACTTTATAAATAGCACAAGGTTACAGTTTTCAAAGAGTAGGAAAAAGTTCTTGCATTAACATATTTTATGTATGTTTTTGTATCCACATTTGTGATTGCCACTAAAATGTGTATTTTTAAAAAATGTGTATTTTCTGAATTTCATTGTGCTTTTACAAGACACGTTTTACTTTGATGTTCATAAATGCTGAAAAGGCTCCCCTAAGGAGAATTTTAAGTGTAAGTAAGGTTTTTGGTCAGTTTAAATTATACAATTCTGAGGCATTATTTAAGGTACATACTGTATTTTTTGTTTGAAATCTGTCAGCATTTTATTTGTATGGCAATTAAACGACTCAACCACTCATGTCTCAAATGCCAGTCTTTGTCAATTGTTATTTTTAACAAAGAAAATTGTATACATATATGTGTTATATATGTATATAAATATATAAATTTACAGCAAAAATGTTTAAAAATAACAAACAGATTGAGTATAGTTAAACCTAATAATTGTATTTTTGTTTCTATGACTCTGAGACAAGATTACTAGACCCTTATTCAAAGTTTCTAAATATAGGAAATAGAACATCGGACCATGCTAAAAAAATGGTTCAGATTTTCTTTTGAAAGAGAAGAGTTATTTTTCCTCTTGATCCCTAATGAAGAAGCTTTATTTGTCAAGGGGTTTTCCTTAGAAAATTGACCCAATGTCAACTGTAAAGAAAGCACAGAAGATCCTTGGATGATTGACCAACTTATCCAAACACAGGTTTAGTAAAGAGAGGATATTAAGATAAAATGTGAAATGACCTCTCTGAGTCACATTTGTTTTCATAATTTCCTAGCAAACATCCAACTTCACTGCTACCCTCAGCAATCTTTCCTGAAATATTTTTAAGACTTTGATAGACGCCAACAGCTGATCTTCAGAAAGTCATCCCCAGAAGAATATGTAAAATGTTACAACTCATTTCAGGGAGTCTGCCTAGCTCTTGATATTATATATCTTTGGCATACAGTTGTGTACCTTTTATCATTGACAGTGAAGAAAATAATGCCATTTGTAACTTCTGAGATATACACACAATGCTATCAACTAGCCAGTTAAAAAAGATAAGAAAAATAAAGAAAATAGAACATTTTTAGGTGTCTGGCAAGTATCCTCTAAATCAAGGTAAAGGTAATAGTTTAGTGGCAGTGTTCACATTTTCCTATGACTGTTAAGATTTAGATGCCTTACAAAATATTAATATTTAGACTTCGATGAAAGGTTCATTTTTCTTCTAACACTTTAGTAGCTAGATACAAAGAAAATATACAACAGCTGTTTATAAATGAAGAAAAAATTTCCATTTTTTATCCGAGTTTCTCATTTATTTGCAGAGAACGAATAAAATAAAAATATCCTAGTGTTGTTTGGGCCACAGCATACCAGTAAATCTTAAGGACTATATTTCAGTATGAAAAGGAAGAGCAGGAAGATTTTCTCATTCCTTCTTACTAGCAAAAGTCTAGCCTTCACACACACACCAACACACACACACTCACAAACACACAGAGTCATCTATATAAACATGTACTTGTGTTTCTTGAACATATATGAAGCACCTTCCATTTCCTTTTATAATAAATCCCTGTTTTTGCTGTTCGTTAAAAAACAAAAAGGATGAAACAAGCTCAGGACATTCTGAAAACCAATGTCTTTAGGACACACTAAGGTGTCCTGAATTACTTTAATGGACACATTATAAAGACACACTCTCCAATCCCTATTAGGAAAAGTTTAGTCAAGTTTGCTTACTATTTGGGTGCATATACCAAAAAAGTATCATTTAGGACATTATTTAGGATAATATTATTTATGCAAGAATTGTACCACCTATTTCCAGATGGTATAACTTATTATCTGAGAGTCACATAGCAAATAGAACACAGAAAGCATAAACTGTGTCAGGAGAAATCATACGAGAAAAAGAGCATTGTCTGGTTATCAGAATATTAGATCTCTCATTCTGGCCTTGCTAGGAAATAGATTTTTGATTCCAGAAAAGTCAATTACTTTCTATGGTCCTTTATAATATACCCATTTAAATTCCAAAAAAAGTATATGATAAATTGCAATAATTTCAATCACATGGATTTTAATACAAAATGTATAAAATCAATTTCCCAAAATTTTCTGCATATACTGAAAATGTCTGTACGAATGAGCTAACTACTATAGGCCTTCCCTAATTTATTCTATTAAATGTGGGTACTTAATGTAACCTGAAAATATTGAGCTTAACTATTCTTTTTCTTTTTTTGCAAAAGGGAAACCAGAAAAAGACAGCTTCCCCCAGAAAATATATCAACAATAGGTGCTCAATTAAATGTTTTTAAACAATGAACAATGTCCCCTTTCATATAAATAATCAGGGGAGAGATATTTTTAAGTCTTTTTTTTCTTTATCCATAGCCTCACTTACACAAAAAATATGTTGTAAAGACACCACTTCTATGAGGAGGTATTCATTGTAGATGTACAGAAGTCAATGGAAACCTAAGTTTACACACACAAAAAAACAGATTATCATTCCACCCAACTGTATATTCCCACAGATGCTTAATAAAAGCTATCTGATGATATAATGAATTATCGATTCTTGAGGAAGTATATACAGTTGATGACTAATTTTCAAAAACCATCATCCAACAAACTAATTTGTTGATTTAAAATTTTTCATATTACCCTTTTGACAATCAGTTGAAATTTAAAAACGAAGAGCATTTAAAAATATAAAGGAAAATAGCATTAGCTATAGACTTATATTCAACTTCAGACGTTAAAATAAATACAAGTGTGTATTAAGAGTAAAATTATGTCAACAGTGTATAAATGAAAACTACCAATGTAATTAATGTTTCTTTTAACATATCCCATCCATTGCTTTCCCTCCAAATGACAACGGTAGCAAAAGAGGAAACAGGAAGACCTGTTTCAGAAACTGAACATACTGGTTTAATTGGCTAAGAAGTCCAAATGCTAATACTCCTAATAATTAGCCATTCCTTTTGTGTTTTGGTGACATATATCCTCATACAATGTATATCAAATGGAATTTTTTGATTCACACCTGACATTTCAAAGTTTCCATTTTTGAATTCTCCTAGTCTTAAGTAAGTAGAACATTGTCTCCTTCGTTTGCTAGGCATAACGTTTTCCCCAACATCTAGTGCTCCATGATGCAAAATATCATTTTGTCGATCTTCTGTTCCAGTATTTACTTTAATTTTTTTAATTATAATGGGGTTTTCAAATACAATCACAAAAACATCTCCTGTTGAAGGTGGTTTCCCCCAAAAGTACTCGTCAACACTACTGTAAGCCTTGCTTGCTTCATAATTTTCAAACACATTCATGTTGGTGTACAGACTTGCAGGGGGGTTATCAGGAATGTCAAATGACTCCTCTTCAAAATCATCATCCTTTAGCTTATTCTCTGTCCCTTTGTATGATGAATAATAGCCCATGTGCTGAAAGAGAGATGGTTTAAAACGGATCACATTTTTCTGAGCCAACAGACCCCGGAAATGAGTCAATAGCCAATCACAAGGCATTTCTTGATAAAACATTAATAAAAAATGTGCCAAACGTGGGAGATCATGAGAATGATAGAGTTTACCAATGTAGCCAAGCTTAGAGAATTCAAGAGTTACCCAGTAAGTTCCTTCTAGGGATGCAATGACTTTCTTGATGGCAGTTAAGAAATTTTTTGAACACCGAACATCATCTTCAAGCATTACATAATAGTCAGAAGTATTGGCACAAAAATTAAGCAGAAAAGCATAATCTACGTTTTGCTTTGAACGAAATTTGACTCTATCTTCTGGATCATTGTAATTTCTTTTAAGGCCATCCAGGATTGGGTAATACTCCTCTGGGGCATGTATAACCATTAATCTTCCTGCAATAATATGGTGCGCAAATTTCTGTGTAATATCCTGGACCATGGCATCACGCCAGGAAGAATTAAAGTCTGCTAGGTGAACCACCACTGAAATTTCCTTCAGTTCTTCGTAACTGGACTGCTCAAAAATTGACTTAATTGTCTCAAGTAAATAGTTTCCTTTTTTTCGCTTTACTGAAGAAAGTCCAATTGTAAGATACCCTGCAAAAAAGATTTCAGAAAGAATACAAATGTGAACTAGAAATACAGAAAAAGAAAAAGAGAGAAGATATTTATTCCTTAGACTTGCTACTTATTATGTATTAAGTAAATATAGTAAATGACTATGCACAGAACATTTTATGATTAAAGTAATAAGCTAAATATATAAAGGCTGTAAGTGCTTGATACATAATTTATATTTTCTATGAAAAATAAATAGCATCTTAAGCATAATAATATATGAGTCCTATTACTGTGAACATTTATTGATGAAATTGTAAAACGAAATGGTTTTAAGTGTTCTGCAGCTTAATATCCTTATATACGCCCACTAGAGAAGGTAGACAGGTATTTAGATAGCATGCAAGTTCCTTTTAAAAATAAAGTAAATAAAATGCTTTTTCTCTTTTGCAAAAAGAGAAGAGTATTCACAGTTAAGGCTGACAAACTAGTTTCAAATGATACAAAATAAAAATAAGGGTAAGTCTTTCAATCATCTTTAAATTTTTTATACAACACCTCATATATTTTCAGTTTTCTTTTCTTTTTTTGCTCTCATTATCTTGTACTAGACTTCATAATTGGACTTCACAATTTTATCCTGAAATGCACTTAGTATATTAATTAGAAAGCAAACAATATTATAGGACACATTCAAAAAACTTTAATGCTACATTGTTTCAAGACACAAGCATCACTTAAAAAAATTTTTGAAACACATTTTATAGTAATGTTACTTGAATAAATTTTTATTCAGACATTTAAAATCTAAAATTAGGAATTAGATATATTTAGAGAATAAAATAAAACCCTGAGAAAAGACAGCTCTCCTCTGAGAAGGGTTAGAAGTCTTTCTATTGAAATATTTTTTAAAGCTCATTCCCATATGAATCAGAATTGAATAACATTTCTAAGCCACTATTTAGAAAATGGGGAAATCTATATACAACAAGATCATTGTTTTAATACAGGCACCTGTATAATGTGGTTTGTATGATACTGAAAAAAGTCCCATTCAAAAAAAGAATTCTTACTAGTTCATCAGAGAGGTTGTGATTTACACATTTCATTTAAATACCTTGGCTTACAACTCAGACTTCTATTGAAACACAATATGTTATCTAGTACCGTTAAACTTGAAGCCACCAAACTTCATTAATAATAATAGTCAATGCTTATGAAATACTGTCTACATAAGAGGCAGGAGTTTGGGCATTTTATCTGTAATATGCATCTTAAATGTTCAAAACTCTCTTTTGGGGTAGGTTTGCTATTACCATCATTCTGCTTTACAGATGAGGACACTAGGTCATGGTGAGATGATGTGACTCATGCAAAGTGGTACACTTAGTTGGTGATGTTGTGTCAGGATTCAAACTGTCCCACTCTTTTATCCTCTGTGTTACATTGCTTCTGGTAGAAAGCAGTTGGCATGTGTGCCAATAAACATTGGTAAATTTAGCACGGGAAAGGGAAATCAGTAATGTTCAAGCCAAGGTGGTGTAACAGAGATGAAAAATGAATGGCAGTCTTAGACAATTAGAAAGAAGCCTAAGAACAGTGGACATTTCAAATGGTAGACTGAAAGGAAATGAGATCTAAAGAAATCTAAATTAATTTAACAATTTCCTCAACCTAGAGGCCAATTTTTGTGGTCTCCACATAATTTATTAAGATCATGATAGCACTGTATTTTATTCTAAGATTCACGGTTTTTGTTTTTGTTTCTTTGAAATGGAGTCTCGCTCTGTCGCCCAGGATGGAACGCAGTTCCACCTCCCAGGTTCATGCGATTCTGGTGTTTCGGCCTCCTCAGCCTCCCGAGTAGCTGGAATTACAGGTGTACACGACCATGCCCAGCTAATTTTTGTATTTTTAGTAAAGAAAGGGTTTCACTATGTTGGCCAGGCTGGTCTTGAACTCCTGGCCTCAAGTGATTCACTTTCCTTGGCCTCCCAAAGTGCTGTGATTACAGGCATGAGCCACCAAACCCAGCCTAAGATTTATATTTTACGCATTGAAACATTTAAAAATCAGGCTGCATATTGCAATCAATAGCATTATAATTAAAATTGGTAATGCTTATACTTTCTTAGTGGTATGCTAACTAGATAATGGTACTTTTTGTAAGCTATGGTGTCTTAGAAATGTAGTATGTCATTTCTTGGCTCCAAATATATATATATATATATATATATATTTTTTTTTTACCAGATTGTAGTGTGTTCAATAGTTTCCTCCAAAAATTCATGTCTACCTGGAACCTCAGAATGTAATTTTATTAGTAAATTTGATCTTTGCAGCTATAATTAGTTAAGGATCTTGAGATGCAATAATTCTATATTTAGATGTGGACCCTAAAATCAGTAACTTGTGTCTTTATAAAAAGAGGAAAAGACACAGAAAGACAAAGAGAAGGCCACTGATGATGGAGGCAGGAATTGGAGTGATGCTGCAAAGCCAAAGAGTACCAGAAGCGAAGCCACCGGAAGCTGAAAGAGGCGAGGATTCTCCCTTAGAACTTTTGGAGGGAGGAAGTGGGGCCCTGCCAGCACCTTGATTTCAACCTCTGGCTTCCAGAATCATGAGAGAATAAATTGCTCTTTTTTAAAAGCCAGTCACTTTGTGGTAATTCGTTATGGCAGACCTAGGAAACTAAAACACTGAGTTTCATTAATTAAAAAGTTGCGACAAGTCATAAAACCAAACTGTTAGAGGTTAGAAAACGTAGCAATATGAACATAGCAATTTTTAAAAGTTACCTTCTAAATTTTAAAGTAAATTGATTTTTTTCTAGTCACTCTATAACATCCTACAACAAAATCTCAAAAGACTCACGATTAGGCATTTTATTTAATTTTTTTGTTATTAAGGGTACTGGGTCAGTGAGTATAGTAGTTGACAATTTGTGAAGAAACATTGAAGTTTTCTCCAAATAATTTATTATATGAGTAAAGCCCTTAAGCCTTTTTACTATACATGTGAAACAAATTATTATTATTTTAATGCAAAATATTTTTTGTATTCTTTATTTAAATGTTTAAGGATACTTACGCTTTCTTTGTAAAGGTGTGGCAGCTAGGTAGCGATAGGTGACATTTATGGCTCCTGAGAAATTAGACAAATCCTTAAAAGTATGAACATAGCGTTCTGAATTCAGTTGATGTGTGGATGTTTCCCTTATAAGTTGTTTGTCTCCTTCCTAAATGCCAAGAAAGAGGCAAGAAAAATACATAAATAATAGATGGTCATGGATTAAATAAAGTTTCTTTTTTACACAATAAATGTATGACTACAATATATAGTATGCAGGGTTATATAAATCTCAATTACTGACATCATAAGCTATAGCTCATCATCACTCACCTCATTTTTTACCTGGAGGTTCTGCTCCAGTAGCTTGCTCGCCTATTTTACTGTATATACAATTACACTTGTTTTTCTACAGGACACATTAATAATGGCAATCTATTAAAAAAAAGAATTGCTACATGAAAACTCCCACTGCCATTATGCTACTTTTCAAATTTTTGACAATCATTTAGGGATCTCAAAATTGACAGTAACCTATTTTATAGTTTAATCTAAGGCTAGTTCCTACCATATTGCCTGATTTAACTCTTCTTCAAGCACTCTCAGATAAAAAGATCACAGTGTCTCCATGATTATAAAACTATAGGAATGATTAGGAAGATGCAGTAGTGGACATAATATTTGCATTTTGGATACTTTATTAAATAAGTCACTTATGTGGCTACTATCTATCTGTTGAGAAGAGCTAGTTATGGGTGATATGGCAGTAATTTTTTTCATATGTCCTAAAGTAACCTCAAATAGGACACATTTGCACCAAATTAAGGTAATGTGTAGAGATCCAAGACTAATATTTCTCATGATAGTTTGTGTGTGTGTGTGTGTGAGAGAGATTCTATTGGATGTAATACCCAATCCTTTCATATTTTAGATCCATTTTATTTATTTGGTGTTGGATTTTGCATGTCATTAAATCTTCAGGAAGGTTTATAGTCAAGAAAACATATTCATATTCAGATTAAAATATGTCCTTTACCCATTAATTGCCCTTCTTTGATATAAGCTAAATGGTAAATTTTAATTATCTAATCATCATTTGATCAAGCCTTTATTGGTCATACACTATTAGGAAAATAAACTATTTGTTTGACTCGTATGTGATTTACTAGAATTGGTAGAATACGTTTGAGAACAACCTAATTAGAAAGAAATGTTTGTCTCTTTCTCTCTTTTTTTTTTTTTTCCAAAATGTGCACTCTACTATGTGGTTTTATTCATTTATTTTAATCAATTTTTTTTTTGAGATGGAGTCTGGATCTGTTGCCCAGGCTGGAGTGCAGTGGCATGATCTTGACTCACTGCAGCCTCTGCCTCCTGGGTTCAAGCCATTCTCCTGCCTCAGTCTCCCAAGTAGCTGGGATTACAGGCACACACCACAATGCCCAGCTAATTTTAGTATTTTTTAGTAGAGACTACGTTTTGTCATGTTGGCCAGGCTGGTCTCAATCTCCTGACCTCAAGTGATCCACTCACCTCGGCCTCCCAAAGTGCTGGGATTGTAGGTGTGAGCCAGCGCACCTGGCCTTATGTGGATTTATTTTTTTCAGTATAGAAAGTCAAGCTAGGCATGTGCTAGCTATTAAGACTATAGAGAAAGTAAATGGATTAAATAACTTTGGTCCTGCTATTTTTTTTCTGTGGTCAAAATGTTAACTAAAGCCTTGTTCTAAAAAATTAGACAAAGTTCAATGTAAGTTTTACAACGAAAACATTCAATACTTCGCATCAATCTCAAGTGCCAGTGAAAAAGATGACTAACTCAAACTTTCAAATCTATGGCCAGACGTGACTATTCTTCGAATGAAAACTGAAAGTAGGGATCTTAACTACAGGCTTCCAATATGGTCCTTACTAAATCAAGATTCATTATGAATATCTTTTCTGTATATCCAGTTATGTTTATAAATCTAAATTTGGTATTTAATAGTGTATTTCTCTATTTTATACTGCCTCTGATAATTTGGACCAAGAAATACTTTAGTCCTTTATAAAGTTCACAATGTGTAAAAGTGTGACTTTGTGTGGCTTTTACACAATGCCGTGGGTAAAAGCCATAAACTTTCAAAGTACTTGAGATTAAACCTTAGATTCTAAATTACTTAGAAATATACTAATTGACTATCCACTGAATTCTGATTATTTTAAGTTCTTTATACATAAATATTTTCATTGGTGTCTACCTGCAATCCTATAAAACATCATTAAAGTTTAAAATAAACAAATTTAGAACTGCCAAAAAGTAACTAGTGACTCAGTTTAGTATCATTAATAGTAATGTAGTGGTGTACATAATTAATAATGCCTGGAAGAAATTTCTATAAAAAGTACAGTACTTACAGCACATTTTACCATTCTGTTCTTAGTTGATGTTACATTCTAAAGTAGGTGCAGGATATTGAATATCTCTTTAAAAATTCTATCCTGAACACATAAAATCTAGAAATTTTGTGTTATAAGATGGAGTGCATTCAGCCTGATTTAAGGACATAACAGAATATAAAAAGAAATGGAACTTATATGAAATCACTTTATTAAATTCTCAAGAACAAGCTTTTTTCACTTTTCAGCATAAATAAATAATGCAACTTTTACCTGAGTCAGCCTTGTTGGCTGCTTTCCAGAGGCATCTACCTGAACAGTCAGGGTCTCCCTGGATACCTTCTTTCTGTAGCTACTATGCTGTAGTATATTTCTCAGTAATAAGACAAGGCTTTATGACAATCATTTTCTGGAAGGGAATGCAATTCAATGAACTAGCTACAGACTAAATATATACCCTTGTGGCTACTTTGAAGATGTTCACAGCCAAGAGGCTAAGTTGATTGGGCATGCAGTGTCTCTTCTACTTAGTTTGCCTTGTAACGGTGTTTGTCTCTTACACTAAGCACAGCTTCCTTTTTCACTTAAAGGCACATGTATCTCTAATACATAAGCAAATAAGCTAAACTGCTAATATGCCTAGGGTTTCAGGCCACAAATGGATTTTCTAACAAAAAGAGGAGAATAGAATGTGTTAACTAACTCCAGAGACCTTGCTAGTTCTAACTATTCACCTGATATCTCCAAGTTAGAAGTATTATTTCACAGTGTTTAAAAAGGAAGACAAAAAAGAAAGATCTACTAATGTCTGTGCTTAGCAAATTGCATATTTTTATTAGCAAATTGTGATCATCGGGAAGAAAGAAGAAAAATGAGTTCAGATAATTTTATGAAAAAATGAAATAAACACAGGTAAAAAATCAGAAGGGAGATGTGTTAAAAAGAGATTGCATTATATTCTTGGAGGAGGCCAGTTTCCCATGGATATTATTCAATTTTAGAAGAATAATTATAATGCACTTTAATATTAATCATTGAAAAACTTTTCAATTTATAGCCTTGAAGCAAAATTCAGCTAAAATGCAATTTGGTTAAAAAACATCAGTCAGTAAATAGTAAATTGTTAAATAATAAAAATACTATCATCAAACGTAGAACAAGGGATGAGTGCTGGAATTTAGCAATCATTTTAACTCATTTTTTCCAACTTTTGTAAGTATTTTAAAATAATAACTTTTAAAAGCTAAGAAGCAATCTGTTTTCTGCACCTGGACTGATTTGCAAATTTGAGTAGATATATTCCTAATACAATCAGAGAAATTTCATTGAGAAAGTACCTTTAGTGGAAGACCTACTTCATTAAATCATACTATCTACATTTGATGGCTAGGACCAATGTTTAGATAGCACTGTAAAAATTTGCAAAACAGGAAAATAGCATTTTAGTTTCTAATTGACATATACTCTACTACTTCTTACTCATTTTACAGTGAATTTAAACAGGTTCTATTTCAAAAGACACAAGGGCGTTTTGCACATTCAATGGTCCTTTGGGTTTGTTGAAAGTGAAAGACTAAAATTGCACTGGAAACTGCCTTTTAAATTCAATGAGTCATTGAACATAGCAAGCCTCCAACCAATAACATGTGTTTGATTTACAAGATTTTATTTACTTCTACCTGTAGACACAGAATCAAAAATATATTTTTATTATAAAATTGAATCATTAATCAAGAGAATCTCTAGTGAACTTGTGATCTTTCATTATCTTAAGAAAAAAATAGCAAGAACACATGGGCCTTGTTCTGTTGGCCTTATTATATCTCATATAACTAATAGGTTTTAAAAATATTCAAAAAAGCATAACGTTAGTGTGTTTCTCCTATTTGCTAAGTTTGCCTAAATTATGCCTACTCAAATCCTGTTTAATCTTTGGTGATTTCAACCATTGTGCATCGAATGTGTAGAGAAACACGAAGGGTCCACAACATCAGAACTGCTATTTGAAGACAAAAAGCCTAGGCAAAGTCAAAATCTAGGATTCTGGCACAATTTCACCATCAAAGAACAGAGCTAAAGGATGCAAGATGTTTTACAGAGGACTTCTTAGGAATATCTGTACCAACCAAAAAATATGGTTGGATCATAGGATATAGCATAGTATCTGGCAAACAATAGTTAATAAATCATCTAAAGTTTTTTTTTTTTTTTTGGAAATACTCTGTCTCTTTTAAGACACTAATTTAAACTCTCAGCATTTTTGCATGTGAAAATCACTTTTTAGTTCCTGTTAGTTGTAAAGGTTTTGATTTCTGAAATATGTAAACTGTAATCAGGTTTTGATTTTCTGAAATCTATAAATATTAATAATAACATACAAATTAGGACAGATATTTTAGGCTCCATTAAGATAGAAAAAGTGAATAGCAATAATGTCTATATTAATCTTATCAGACATGAAATGATGTGACAATAACAATAAGAAAAAAAGTCAAACTAGCACATTAATTTTTCATAATTAGTCAGAATAAGCCCTTTTGCATATTGTCATATTTTCCCTAAAAAAAGTATTCATATGTAATCACCTACCAATATTTGGCATCTCATTCAAACTACTGAATAATTTACACATCAATATCTTTATCTCTTGAGATCTTTTCAGTGGGTATAAATATAAAACAGAGTGGCCATCTAGGTCTATTCAAAATCCAAATAAGATATTACACATTGTAATAAAATATTACTTATACAAATAACACAATTAAAAAGCATTGTTAATTAGACAATGGAATTTTGAAAATTTCAGTGATAATATAGAAAAGTAGAGGAAGCAAGGAGTAATACTTTCTAAGCAGATTTTGTTCATTCTATACATTTCAAATGGAAAACCCAAAATCTTAATGGTTCCACATAATATTAATTCTGCATAGTGATGATAGCTAACTTATTTGTAATTATATGTACACACTTGGAGCACAAACTAAACAGCATTAAAAATATTGGAAAATAATTCAGTACAAGTGTAATGTTGATGTATGGTTAATATAAAAAATAGATAATATACATGTTATAATTTTGCTCAAACTAAGTCTTCTCCAATAGCTTGAGACTGAAGTTAGGTTACAGTGGGACTATTTCTTGTTTGACTTATGCCTTATTTTGAAGAAAAGACAATTAACCTCCAAAACTTACCAGAACATAGCTATCTTCAATGTATAAGTTCATAAAAAGGAGAAAAACGACAAGAACTCCCAAGAATGACACTGTAGAACGTTTTCGCAGGCATCTCATTTTATCAAGTATTTCAAAAATATGTTTCATTTGATGAAATTTAAACATTCTCTTCTGTGGAAAAGAGGCACAGAATTACTAGCAGTTGGTTTTGGATGAAAATATTTATTTATCAGATATATAAAAGTCAGGTCCTTGTAAAATCTTATCTTTCAAATGTTTGAATTAAAATTCTGTTCCCAATTTCAAACATAAGTTTGGCACAGATCATTAATTAATATGTAAACATAAGATCAATGCAGTGGTTTATATTAATGTGAGTAAATAAAAATTAAAAGCAAGCCTCATAGTTACTGATGAAAAAAAGATGAACTTTGGTCATAACAATGTAAAAAAACAGGCCTCTGATGAGAAACAGTACAAAAGCCCAATAGAAAAACAGTCAAGTCCACTGTCATCAGTGAGGTATAACTGTAAGGTAATATTTACCTCTCCTATTGTAGCATAATGAAAATGAAAAAAAGCAGAATTATGGACCTAATACTAATCTCAGAATAGATGTCAACTGAAAATATTTAACTGGGAATCTGGGTGGAGTAAAGAAAAGTGACAAAGAAGTTAAGGTTGTGGGGTAAATCCAAACATATGTTTGAAAGCTTCTGGGTTACAATTGCTTTGCTTATTTTTCCAATAATTCTTGTTAAATCAGGGCGAATCCTAAAGTATTATATTAACATTTCCTTGATATCTACTAATTAGTAGTTTAGCTGTTTGAAATAATTCATGTACTACACAAAGGCAAAATGAGAGTCAGAACGATTTGTGAAAACCTAATTTAAAAAATTTTACTCTTTTCTATTTTGTATTATTTTCCAACCAAAAATTCCTTTACATTATTCACCGTTTTATAAAAAAGTATAAACATATCTGAAGTGCTCGACGAACTAGAAAAATCACAATTTGTCTAAAATCAGCACATTGATAACCTGAAAATAGAGCCACTTAGAGTTGTGTAATGAATCTCCTTGGGTTTATCTTTATGAAGAAGTATTTATGTGTAAGGAAGACTTTAGAAAGTGAAAAATGTTTGTCCCCTATAATCTTAGAACTATGCCTAGAACATAGCTGGCAAATCTTCTCTTCAATGAATTAATGCAAGGGAGAATTCATGGGTCCTTATAAATTACAGTAAAAATATTAAAAATTAGAAGAAAGTCTTAATATATGTGAAGAACAAAATAATTCTAAAAAATAAAGAATTATGAAAATGTTATACCTATTACTGTCCATTTTCTTTGATCATATTTTTCTTAAGGGTTATTTTTCTTATTAATTTGTAGAAATTGTAAAGATATATATAAATATGCAAACATGGATGCACATAAATGTATATCCTGAGGATTTGGGTGATATATAACATTTCAAATAGTATGAGAACTGGTAAATAATGCTTTGGAGGCAATATCGTAGTTCTGTTATGGGATCTTCAGAGTGTTGCTTTTCTGATCAGAAACCTCTGTGGCTGGTGGCATCCTGCCAAAGTTCTCGTCCTCTATCCAGGAAGAATGAGGTATCCAGACAAGTGGAGGGTGAGCAAGATGAAGAGGAGCTTTATTGAGTGTTAGAACCGCTCAGATGAGACCCGCAGTGGGTAGGTCCTCTCTGTCGACAGGTCAACCTGTCAAGTGTTTAGCACTTAGTAGAGAGGGTAGTTCCTCTCTGTTTCTGGTTGATCCATCCTCTTCTCAGCAGACAAGGTAGCCCTTCTCTGCAGGTGACCACCCCATCATCTCTCCATCCTCTCTGCTCTGGCTGAACCTGGGGCTTTTATGGGCCTCAGAGGGGAGGAAGCACATGTCAACTGATCCATGGACAACCATGGGCAGGTCCAGAAAAGGCACCACAAGTTCCCAGTCTGGTCTGCAGGACTGGCAGTCTGGCCGCCAGGCTTCAGGCCTTTACTGGCCTGAAGGTGGGGCTTCACTGGGGACCCACCCTGTTTCCCCTCCAGAAGTCTGTCTGCCTCCCAGTACTGTCCATAGCCTCCAGGCAGCTCACACCAATGGGCACCTGCAGGTCAGTGACAAGACACCCTCAGCACCCTCCTTGGTTATCCTTTCCACACTCATGGGTGCCCAAAGCCTGGAGGGTGCTGAGATGACAAGTGGCTGGCATGTCAACACTGCCCAGAGCTGACATTACAGGCATGAGTCTGAGATGTTGCGCCTTGGGGGAACTCAGTTTCTAGGCATGGTGGCTCATGCCTCAAATCCCAGCTTTTAGGGGGGCAGAGGTAAGAAGATAGCTTGAGCCCAGGAGTATGAGACCTGCCTGGGCAATATAGTGAGACCCCATTCTCCACAAAAAGGAAAAATTTTACTTCACAGTTTCCAGGTGAGATTTCATCAGAGCAGGTCCTGGAAGTTTCCACCATCCTGATGACAATATGGCAGGGGTGGTGACCACCAAGACATCTTCAGAAGTGGCCCTACTTTTTCAAAGAGCAGACAAAGGCACCACCAGCCACATACATTTCTGGCCAGAAAAGCAACACCCCAAAGATCCTGTAACATTTTGGGGGCTCATCCAGGGTCTGCGGAAAGGTAAATAAAAGTGGATCTGCTTTTACTGTCCTTTTTTTGGAGTCTCTAAATTCCACAACAGTCAAAATGAAAGAAAAATACTGGACCTTTGTCAGTCAGTTAAAAGCGACTAGCACAGCTACCAGGACTCAAGACATGGAGAACAGACTTTCTGGGGAAGACATTGTCAATCCTCCATCACCCTCAGGTGTTGAGAATGTTGGCTTTGTTTCAATCCAGTTTCTTTTCATGAATATCTAGCTGTCACATAGGACTGAAAGAAAATCTTGGCGCAACTGAGGGTATCTGGCCAAGGCTACACCTTGTGTTATCCAAAGGCCTCTGGACTAACTCCAGTCTCCGAGTGCCTATTAGGGTGTTGGCACTTGGACCTCAGTTTTTCCTATCATTTTTTCTTTCTTTCTTTTGTGGTTGTCAAGGTTCCCATCTCTTCTTTATATACAATGTTAAATGTTAAAGATGTTGTTGCAAACCAGAGATATTACTGGGTAGAATGTGGAATTGGCTTAGTCATCAAAAGTATAAAATGGAAAGTTAAGAACACCACAGACAAAGCAAACTGTGCATTGGCATCTGCACATAAATTTGTGGCAAACATGTTTTTGCCATTTCCTTTGTTGTCAACTTAGTGTCAAGCACCTTGAAGTATCAAACAGAAACATGGCCTCAGGAAGAAATCTGTTCTGTGAATGTGAGGGCAAATGGTCCAAGGTCCCATATGTGCAGGCCTTCTTTGCCTTGCAGGGCAATTCGGACCTTTGTCAAGATTGTAGGATTAATTAAGCCCTCCTAGTGGACATCTCAGGAGAGGCTGCAAGAGAAAGTCCCAGGGAAATAGGGAAGCAAACCCCAGAGGTGCCTCCAGCAGGGGAGTCAACCTCCTTTGCTCTTTCCTATGCGGGTTCTCTCTTAAGCTTGCCCCAGCCTAAAAATCTTTGTTTTAGGCAGGTCCCAGTCTCAACTGCTCCAATAACAGATGCCTGGTGAATATGGCACCATTAAGGTCCAGGTTCCCTTTTCAAATTAAAGGGGGTCTTGGCAAGTTTCCAGATGGTCCTGACAGGTATATAGAGGCTTTCTAGAACTTAAACTAAGTGTTTGAGCTCTCCTGGAAGGATTCATATTACTTTTGAGTCAAACTCTGACCACCACTGAAAAGCAGGGAATCCTGCAAGTGGCAGAGAAGTTTGGAAATGAACTTTATATCTTATACAGGGTCATGGATGGGGAGGAGTTGGAAGAATGGCAGTACCATTGGCGGACCAGTTGGAAGAATGACAGTACCATTGGAAGACCAGTTGGAAGAATGGCAGTACCACTGGAGGACCCAAAATGAGCCCCCAATGATAAAATGAGAGAAAGGAGGAGGAAACACTTTTAGGTTTGCACACTAGAAGGCTTACAAGGGACTGGGTCCAGCCTCTCAATAGAACTGAGCGATCCATGGTAGACCAGGGATTTGATGGGAGTCACACATGTGATGGGAGTTCATCAGGGGGCTGGAGGGGCATTGGTGAAGTGTGATTCTCCATCTCCTGATTTGATTAAGGGACAGCTGGTTCTAGGGGATGAGTTAATCGCACAGGTGGCCCCTGATGTCAGGAGGGGGCTGCAGAAATGGGCTGTGGGACCAGATGGTACTTTGGAGGGCCTGCTGGGAGTGGCCACTTCAGTATTTCACAGTGGGAACCATGAGGAAATCCAGAAAAGAGAGGGGAGATACAGTAAAAAGACAGAGGCTTCCAGTAACCACCTTGTGGACTCATGGACCCCAGAGTCCCCAAGATGCATTTGTTGATTGCTGCAAATGTGGTAGGAGGGACTGTCTAGACAGCAGGAGGAGGCCAGGTAGTGGGGGCAGGCATCCCTGAGCCTGTGTAGATGGTGGCATGGGGTCCTTTCTGGGTCCCCAAAGGTGCAGACTGCAGAGAAGTCTGGATTCTGCATCTGGGAGGGCAGCTGCAGTGGCTCCTACGGAAGGCGAGGCTCCTGCCCAAGCAGTGGCATGGGAAGTCCGGGTCAGCCTCCCTGCTGCAGCTGGCATCTTGGCAGCAGTCACTCTTGATGGGCCATTGCTACCATTAGTTCTGTCTGCAATAATGTGAAATAGAATAAAACAACAACAAAACCCCAGGATATAATTCTCAAGAGTTGACAAAGAAATACAGAAGTCCTTAGAGAATAATGATGGTCTTCTAAATTCTAACATCCAAATCCTGCAAATTGTAATCCTCCCAAATCCATTCACAATACTGAAGAGAAATTAACTTTCCATGGTGTATACCCCCAGAGTAACTATGACACAGACAATTAGCACAAACTTTAACTTTCATTTAACTGAGAACATTTACACCCAGGGTCATCAGAATAGGTGGAGAAGCCCAAACCAGAGCAAACAAAACCATAAAAAAGTAGTAGGCCAAACAGTTCCTGAAGCTTATAGAGTGTTGGAGACAGTTTGTGTGTCCATAAGCCAAGTTTGTGTGTCCATCAGCCAGCAGGATAGACCTG